TTCTCTCTAGAGTTTGAATAGTGGCAGGAGAACCATTCATTTTGGGGTGCTGGGATGTGGCTCAGATTCTAATATAGCATCTAAATACCTGACATTTACACAGCTGGTTAACTTCTCAGTTCTCAATAGGACAGCATTTAGTGGAATTGTTCTAATGAGAACTGAGAAGTTAATCAGGTGTGCAAATGTTGGGTATTTAGATCAAAGATTAGAATCTGAGCCATACATACCCCCTAAAAAAAAAAACAATGGTCATGCTACCACCATTCAAACCCTAGAAACCTTTTATTGGATAACAATGCACAAAACCTGGCTTTTGTGCAACCTGCAAATCCAGGAAATAAAGGTGTAGGAGGCATCCACTTACATATTGAATTGTGGATTTGCCTGGGGCAATAAGAGTGTTCTAAGTTGGCGTTGGAACCTGTCACTCCAGAATTAGAGGCAGCCAGGCATGTGGCAGAATTGTTTATCAGCACTTAGGCTGTACAGGAGCAAGTCTTAGGTGAAACAATAGCCTTGGTAACACAGGTGGGAAGGATAAAGGTAATAAATGGAGAGGGAGAGGTATAGTGGCAGGACACACTACCTCGAAGAAGGGAAACAGGTGCTACTGGAAGAGGCAGTAGTGACAAGCACACTCTGAGGAAGGGCCACTTGTTTCTCTGTCTGTGGTCAGTACCCTTAAATGGATGTCATAGCCCTGACCACCAAGGAGGGCTTGGCCCAGATGAGGCTACCTCCCCACTTGAGGGGAGGCATGAACCATCTCTTAGGCAGGACTCAGAGCCTGACCAAGGGGGAGGGGGTGAGCCAGTTCTCCCAAGACCTGTCATTGGCACCAGCCACATCCCTCAAACTGGAGCACGGCTGCCGACCAGAGCTTAGACTTGGGCCAGAGTCTCCTCCAGGGTGGACATCCTGAACCTTTTAAAGCAGACTATAGTGATTGTGAGTCTGTAGCTGTGTCTGGAATCTCTACCATGTATCAGAGTCTTTGAGTTCTTGGCTCGCTTCCGAGTATTTTACGAGATGATTGCTTTTACCTTGAACATTACCTCGTACAGGAGGGCCTCAGGGAATCTGGAGCTGCTCAGTTCTCCCACACGTTTATTTCTTCACTTTTAATGAAAATCAGTGAAAAACCAGGTGTGATTAAAGATCTAAACTGTTTGAAGTTTGCAAATTGTGACAAACTTTGTAATGACTCCATTCTATAAATTTTGGTGCTCAAGGCAAGACTGACAAGTCACATTATTACAGAAGAAAGCCTGCTTTCTTTCATTCATTCACTAAGCACTTACTGTGTGTGCACCAAGTGCCTCACATGGTGCTTCAGTGTTAAGATGAAATATGACGTATGCATGCCTGAGTCTGTAAGATTAAAAGAGAAAAAAATGCTCAAGAGAAGCCCAACTATTGCTAAAAATAAGTCTATCCCTCTACAAGGAGTTTCAAAATCTAATAAACATGCTTACAGCATCCTTTCAGTAGTCTCAGATTTCACCAAAGCACATCTCAAAGGATACATTGCAGGGCAGGGGGGAAAAAAAGCATCTCAAAAGGTACTTTGCAGAAAAAGAAGGGGCAGGAGTGGAGACTTCACGAGAAGGAAGTCCAAGGATTCCAGTGCTCATGAGAAGGAAAGCACTATCTAATGGTATAGCTCCATAATGCACACGAGCATTCCACTCCAAAGTGCCCTGATGAATCATGACTGAGGACATTCAACCTAGTATTTCCCAGTTATTTGAGGGCAAACACCCATAACTCCCATAACACCCATGACCGTCCCACTGCTGAACCTGGGAACACTCCTCAGGAAACACTGCCACTGACCGAACGCACTGTCCAATACAGCACCACTGCTCACTGGCTACTTAGATGTAAACTAAGTAAAACTAAAAAATGAGATACTCTGCCATTCTTTGGCTAGTTATAGTGGCTACCATGTTCAACAGGGCAAATATATAGCATTTCTATTCTTGTTGGATGCTGCTGGTTTAGATTTTTTTTTCTGGAAAATCTTACCTTGAATTCTGTTTTCTGTGGCAGTCTGTTAAGTGTATTTCCTTTCTTTTCAACTGAACTCCAAGCTTCTTGTAGGTAGGAGATAAGCTTAAGGTTCTTTGGGTTTCTAGTACAGTATTCAGTATTTAAACAATTTCTATGTACAACAAGAAGACAACAAAAACCTCTAAGCTTTCATGCAGGTGTTGCTTGAATTCTCCTGCAAACAGAAGTAGAGCAGGGGTGGAGTTCTGGTGAGAGGCCCTGTACAGATGACCCTTTCTTGCAGAGGATCAGCACCGCAACTGGCGACGGCAAGCACTACTGCTACCCGCACTTCACTTGTGCTGTGGACACGGAGAACATCCGCCGAGTGTTCAACGACTGCCGCGACATCATCCAGAGGATGCACCTCAAGCAGTATGAGCTCCTGTGAAGCTGCTCACTGGCTCCTCCACCCGGCTCTCTTCTCTCCACCCTACGGGGGACATTGTTCCAGGACTGCCCATCTGTTGGCCCTATGCCAGGTAGAAGTAGTACATGTCTAGTTTTATTCTGCTGCTGCTGCCTGACCTGTTATATGTACATCCAGAGTGACTACCAAGCCTCTGGCTACCTCTGTTCCCCTCAGGTTTGGTTTTGTAGCTTTTGTTTTCAAAACACCCTAAAGCCCCACCAACTTGTGTCATTGCAAACATCAACTCTCCTTTGTGGACAATGGGTGGGGGCTTCTCTTATTTATCCATTCATTTACTTGTGGATTCATCAGGGAGAACTTGAGATGGGGAGAAAGCACTTTGTTTCCAGTAGAGCATGATTGTGGAAGCACAGAAACAAAGAATCTTAATTCTATAGAGCTGCAGGCTCACCAGCTGGCTAAACTGCCCACCTGGACTGAGAGTAGAGCCCAGCAGACAGAGTGAACAGAAACTTTCCAGTTACACTTAGAGTTCCTGTCAGCCTCACACATTTGTGTTACATTTAGGAAGAAAATCTACCACATTCACTGCTGCAAAATGTGTCCCATCTAAAAATGATTCTCCGGACCTTCACTTTACTAGAAAAAGGTCGTCTCCCAGAGTCTTTTATTGTTGTTTTGTTGCCAGTTTATCATACTGTACAGACCACAAGACATAATATTATTTTGTATAACTACTAAAGAAACTCCTTGTAGATCTCTGTGCCTTGATTATGGCTCTACCTGTGAAAGAAATGTTTTCATTGTGCTGAACGGCTTAATGTCAACATTATCTACCACTGCCTGCTCTAAAAAAGGGAATGAATAGTATCTGTATAAAATGTATTATCTTTTATCAGGTTGGTACATTTTTCAAAAAACACTCCTTGGTAAAAACCAAAATTATAACTTACCCCCATTAATACCAACATCCTTCCACATAGTCAGAAGCTGTTGCAGCCATCTGCCTTTGCTTACATGAGCCTCAGCTTTAAACACTGACACCAACTCAACTGTACAAATGATAATCAGATCTGTTTCCAGGAAGCCAAGGAGCTTTTTCTCTCCAGATAATATGCTTCTTACTTATTTTGCTATTTACAGATTTTTATACATATATCCTGAGTGGGAACAGGTCAACTATCCCTAGTCAAAGCTTTGGGACCATTCATTCAACCACAGGTTCCAATGTATAAGTAAATAAAACAGCAGGAAGAACAGCCATATGGTAGCAACATTTGTGTCTGCATAAGAGAATTCAAGGATGGCATTTTCAATTGTCTTTTGAAGAAAATATCAGAAGACATTTGAAATATAAAGTCAAAATACATGGCTAATTTCTCACACTTGAAAAAGTTGTACAAATGTATTCTCAGTAGTTAGGGTACAGTATCTAGAAAGCAAGAACGGCCTCATAGGTGAGTCTTCACATTCTGTCCAGGTCCATAGCCGAGAGGGAATTTTCTTAGGTCTAAGATATCCTGTAAAGATGTTCAAAATTGCATTTTCAATAGTATGGATCCAGAAAAGGGACAAACAACATTACTTTGTTAATTTCCTTTTAGTCTCTTTGTTTAATGTTTTAAAGTTTACTCTCTAAATCAGCATTTTGCAAATCTTTATAAATTCATCACTGTCTTAATACTCCTCTCGTCCTTCCTGTTTGTTAAAGCTCACAGTTGAACTGAGACATATATATATATTTTTTTCAATTCCCCAAAGTCAAACATGAAGAAAAACTAGACACCTCCCCCACAAAAAATGTAAGTTGTATATTGTTAAATGCATTATTACTCAACAGTTCCCCATTAATTACATTTGTTATTTAAAAGGTTGATTAAAGAAAAAGCCAAACTCTTAGAGTAACCAAAGTGCATTTTATCTGCCATAGAATTATCAGATGTGTTTCTTTTTACATATCAAGGGCCCTTTCCTACTCCGTTTTCAAGTTACTTTTGATCATTACAGGCACTCAATTCAGATTTAACAACTTGGTCTGCTGGAGAGAAAATTCACACCTATTTAAAAATCTGATTCCCTTAATTTAACACAGACAAAAGTCTATGAAAGCAGTATGTTCCTGCTCCTAGCATTGGTACCTTTTAAGTATACAGCTTTATAACACATAGGAATTTGAGCCACTTCACAGGAAGACAGAGCAAACCCAACGTTTCTATAGACACATCATCCCCCCGTGTGTTGGTGCTCGGGGGCATCAGGACCGTGTAGTGCATGCAAATGATGACATTATAGCATTTACCTACTGTACAAATAGTCTTTGATTATACATATATTTGATAAAAATGACAAAACAGATTTGTTGTAAAATACATGTTCCATTTTTATAGCATGAGAAGAGTTCGATCAATTCTTTATTTCGCAGTGATTCACATCAGTGGTTTAGAATCCCTATGATATGCATAAAGATGGCCTACGTTTGAACTCATCAGCTACTTGATGCTACTTGAGAACTGCCCCAAGTTCAGTTTCTTTGGCTTTGATATTAATTACTAAATGTAAAATTTCCTGCTTTTCACATTCCCTTATGCTTCTTAACCAGGTTCCAACCAAAAAGGAAAGGCAAAGGTAAAAGCTCAAAGTGAGCCAGTACGAGAGCCAGGAGGACCACTGTTGCTCCACAGTAGGTGGCCAAGACTGTGTCCTCAAGGGGAAGGTAGCACTTGGAGAGGGAATAATCTGTGGATGTTATGCTGCCCTGGAAGAGAAAGTAGAAAGTTATGCTGCAGCTAGAACACCAAGCACAGCTTGGACAGGACCAACTCCCTCTGCCCTCCTCTGCCCCAGTCACACACACATGCACAAACACACACTCAAACAGGGTCTAACATGCAAGGACATTGGACCTTCTCTGAATGATAAAATACCTTCCTATAAAACCCTTTTCCCTTGCTGTGCAATTAATCATCCCAGGAATAATGTTCTGTGCGTGCATTCCTGGAGAGGTGTTTCACGAGGGGACAGTGTCTCTGAGTGTGTGTGGGGGTAGTTTATGTACGGCTTTTGTATACTTTTACAGATTGCAACAATTAAATAGTTGATTATTGGTATTGACTTAATTATTTATGAAAGCTTTCAGAGAAAAAATAAACTTTAACGTTACCATAATGAAACTAGGGTTGTTTCTGTTCCTCCAACTGAATGATGGGATGCTGACCTCAAGCACTCCTCCACTGTGGATCACTTCGCAGGCGCTGTGGGTGTGGCCGCTCAGCACCAGGCGTGGCTGGAGCCACCACAGTAACTGCAGGGGTACAGGAAAGAACAGCTTGGGCAAGCCGAGAGGCCTCACTGCAGAGCCCGAGCAGTTTGCCATCACTTCTTTCATTAAATCAAACACTAAATTATTATTTTGTAAGACTGGTTTCTTTTTTCTTTAATATTTTTCATTTATTTATATAACATCAAAAGTAAGTTCGCTTCTGAGAGAGAATCTATTCTCATCCCCAGCTTTATATTTTTTATACATATATATGAAAGCACATTTTAATTAAGTCCCTAAAAATTTAATTTTCGGTGCCATTCACATTTCCAAATATATTATAATTGGTGAAAAAACTCAGAGTAAAGAATAGTGAAGAACATTATTGACTTGATTTTGGGAAACAAAAGTGGTTTTATTGGGAAAAAAAGGGGAGGGGAATAGAGAAAATGATGAAATGAAAAGCTGAGACACTGCCAACACCTTGCCCTCCATTTTCCAGTTGACAATTCTAAAAGTAATCTTTCTTTGGATCAAAATCTACTCTGTTCTTGTGAAAATGTTAAGTAATACCACGGTACACTGGCAAACCTTGTGTGAAGCCTCCTGAGAAAGCACATCATATCTCTCCTTGAATGGGATGTTCTTCTCCTCTGGAGGAGCAGCATCTTCCCCAGAACAATTAGCATCACTTGTGCGGTAAAGTGGATAATGCTGTTTAAAGAGAGGCAGGGGTGACTGCATGAAACCCTGGGCTGTTCTACCAAATATACAAAGGTACCTTACTCCCTCACCTGTAGAAGGACTGGGGCTGAGGCCGGAAGCTGCTGCCTGTCTCCACACCAACTGGAAAGGGGTGCCTGCTACTGGTAAAAAAGCAGGCAGTTAGTTAACCTGCCAAACCCAACACTCACTAAATGGTTGGGGGAGTGGGGGCTGAGTGTTGAACAAAAGAGAAACAGAAAGCACTGTGATGTTCAAACTGTCTCCTACCTTTCGGGAGCAGTTCAGTTTGTGAGAAATTTCAATGAGTTCAGCCTCCATTTCAGAACAAATGCTGCAGCCATCCCCTTCCAGAGCAACGCTGTTCACCATTACAAAACTAAGGCCGGGGAGCAAAACAGAAGATCAGGGCTGCTGGGCTACATGTATTTTTTCCCTTATAAAATTATCCCCATAAAATGGAAACTAAGCAACCCCAGTGTGAATAAACAAGCTCCAGAACAGCTATAAATCTCAACTAGACTAATATGCTATGTTTTTAAGTACAAGGGAATATGAGAAAATAGCACTACTAGGAGTTAAGTCCAAGACATGGTAAACATTTTAAACATAAACTTGTGAGAAATCCCAGATTACAGACCACTCTAAGGTCTGGTCACTTCTAGCCTCAGCTTCTAACACTTAGAACCATGTATCTATGGTTGGACAGGATTGGTTGGTCCTGTCCACAGAGAGGTGCCTCAACACCAAAAAAAACAAACTAACTGCCGTTGAGTTGGATCCAACTCACAGCGACCCCTCCTTGGGTTTCAGAGGCAGTATCTTTACGGAAGTAGATTGTCTCATCTTCCTTCCGAGGAGTAGCTGGTGAGTTTGAACCATCAGCCTTCAAAAAGGTGATAATAGCACACCCATGCCACAGGCTTGTTGTGAGGAGTAAATGAAATAACATGACAACGTGCTTAGAACAGAGCCTGCTACTAGCAAGGACTCAGTAAATGTTCCAAAAAATCCAAAAACAAACACACTACCATCGACCCTTCCTTGGGTTTCTGAGGTGGTATCACTACAGAAGTAGACCGCCCCATCTTCCTTCCGAGGAGTGACTGGTGGGTTTGAACCACCAGCCTTCTGGTTAACAGTCAAAATGTCTTAGGCACTATGCTGCCAGAGCTCCAAATGTTAGGTATCATTATGATGTAGTGTAAGCTACAGCAGCGTTTCAGTAAGGTACACAATTGGGGGCAGGGGGAGCTAGAACAAATGGTGTAAATAAACAACAAAGTCACCTATGGTTATCTTTTGCAACCACTGCATCTTAGTTCCATTTTGTATAGACTTCCATCAAACATGCTTTTATTTCTTAAGCACATACCAACTAACTGATCATGAAGAAGGTACCTGCCAGTAAAGAGATTGCCTGAAATTGAAACAATTTTAGACATAAGGAGCTGACTAATCAAATGATCTGAAATATGTTAAGTGTGTTTAAAGTTTCTTAAACTTAGTGGAAATCAACTCAAACTACAAAATGTCTCCTTTGCAACTCAGGAAAGAGAGCTACAGTTATTAGATACACTGCCCCAGAGGCCAGGGAAGGGCAAAATGATCATTATACCCATAGAATCCTTGTTTCTCATGCTTTACATATATGATCTCACGAGCTGCTGAGGCCAAAAACCTCTTCTCGTATCTTTTCTTCCCTCCACTTATGTCTAAACTATAATAATGTAGACAACCTTGTCCACTGTGTTCTAAGCACAAACACAGAACAGAAAAGGACCACAGCAAAGGGGACTAGCGCTGTGGGCAGATGAGAGTGCTTTGTTCTGAATCAAAGCTGATGGGGGTAAAGTGAGGGTGGCTCTCCAAATGCACAGTGTACATATTTGCCACCAAACCTTAGGACAGTACAACTATAGGGCATCTTTCATAAAGTGGAATAAGCAAATTTTGAACAATAAAAAATACTACTTTACATAGCAGCAGACAGCATGCACAACATCCAGAGCCAGTACCGACAGAAAGGCTAGAATCCCTCAGTAGTTGGGCAAAGGCACAGACCGATGGCTCAACATGGGCTGTACTGAAAATCAGGGTGACCTGGGGTTGCCCATCTGTAACCTGCTGTGGTAACCAATGGGGAGGACAACCAGAGATTGTCAACCGGCCAGCGAGCAGGGATCTGGCCCACTATGGTGGCCATCTTTAAAAACTCAGTTTCCAAGGACTGAAGGTCTTTATAAGAATTCACAAATAATACTCACTTCATTCCTTTCCAAGAAAACAGCTTTTCAGACTTGAAAACTTTCTCAAATCGTTTTATCTTGTATGTGCTCATCCTACATTCAATTGTAAAAAGAAGCATTTTTCAGAAGAAGACATTTTAGAACCTCTTAAGAGTTACCATGAACAAGGAAAGTAACTTTCAGGACTTGAGCACAGATGAGTATTATCAGTTCAGAGGTCCTGATCCTAAGCTCCATTACTGACTAACCATGAGACCTGACTAACCCTCCCAGGCCTCAGTTTCCTCATGGGTACAAGGAATAAAATAACAGGATCATGGTAAGAATTACATGAGTTCATTTATGAAAGTAAAGAGCTTAAACCAGGCTGGCTGTTCATCAGCACTATATAAATGTTAGTTATTAAAGTCTAAATGGTCTTGTTTTAGTCTGATTCCCAAATACGATAATTGGCATGAAATGGCCGTTTCAAGTTATGTATCTCCCAAGGGCACAAACAATTCACTCATTCAGAAATTACTTGCACCAAGACAAAATCCTTGCCCTTGTGGAGCTGATACTCCAAAGTTTACATCTGTTGAGGAAAACAAATTGCCTTAACATAGCACAAATAAATATTTAATAAGCATCTGAATTTTAGCAGGTCAAAAATAACAGTCAAGAGTCCTCATGCTGCAGTAGGAGCCCTAGTGGCACAGTAGTTAAGTGCTTGGCTGCTAACTGAGGTCAATGTGGTTCAAGGGAGAAAGATGAGGCAGTCTGCTTCCATAAGGATTACAACCTTAGAAACTCTAAGCAGCACTTCTACTCTGTCCTATAACATTGCTTGAGTCAGAATCAACCTCATGGCAGTGGGTTCATGGTGCAATGCTTTAGGGAATTACTTACTGATAGTGGAAGCCAATGTCATGGTTTCCAGCAACCACTTTCAGCTGCACATGCTGTGGGTGTCTGAACATTTTCTGAAACCGCTGCACATCATCTTCCCAGGCCTGTGTGGGGAGAAAGGATCACTGCTGGCAGCCAGAGAACCTTCTTTGCCTGTGGCTAAAAATATCCCCGTTTTGATGGTGAGAAAGTAAGTCCCCTGTACTAAATCAGATGCTCATAAAACTATCGTAGAACCTAGAATTTTAAACTTAATTTTAATAGTTTTTTTCTAAGACTACACTTAAAAAACCTTATTTAATCTGATGCCAAATTTTAATTAAACAGTATCCTCTAAATGTTAAAGTATTAAATGACAATTCCCCAAAATACTTTTCATAAACCTATTTTAAGATTCCCCCCTGAAAAGCATGTATGGACCTAAGATGAGAACCACTTCAGATCTGAAGACAACAGAACAGGCTCTTAAAAAATGCCAAGTAGAGAGGCGGGGCAAGATGGCGGACTAGGCAGAAGGATTGCACAGACCCTCTTCAACAAAGAAAAGGGAAACCAATTAAAACAGACACAGAAG